GTGATTGTTTCATTTTCTGAAGTTGGCAACCCTATTCCCACTGTTAATTGTTTTTGTCCTGGTAAATGGTGGAAATGTTCAATAACTAACCAATATTTGTACATAATGCACCCATACAAAATTAACTAGCCTACAAATAAACAATATCATGTGACAACTAGCCCAAATCTCCCCTTATAGCTATTTAAGTCAGCAGCACCATATGGATTTAGGTATACAGTGCACATAAACGAGACGTATATAATGATGCAACTGCGTTGTGATATAAAATCATCTGGAGTCTTGTGACCCCTCCTGCAGTAGAATTTAGGCTGTTGTGCTGCAGAATTTGATACTGCCATGACTCACTTGCCTCTTTGAGGCCTGAATAAACGCAAGTGGGATGTGCCTAGGCCTGCTACGGTTTTCAACGGTTATTCATAGGTAAACAAAGAAAATAAGAAAATATTATATATACTCATAGTATTTTTATTACTACTTTTTCCGCTCTACAAATTTCAGGAAGTAAAAGCCGCATGGCTGCATCCTTGGAGTTTGTGGTACCCGGCGCTGCATCCATTTGGTAGCACCCATCAGCTGATGCTCTATCAAGGTCACCCGCGCAGAGCATCATGGGCGGCAGTATCGGATGCTATTGGTCCCACCCCACGAGCACAATCCGCATCCTAACCGAAACCTCGCCGAATAAGGTATTCCCGCATCACGAGGCGCTATGACGGAACAGCTGTCACAAGGCGTGATGCGAAATACATAAAGGGGCGGGGGCGAGGCTTTACGTGCGCAGCCGCCGGTATTCCGTCAAAGGAGAACGTGCGGTTGGTCATGTATTTGCTGCGTGTGACGAATGAACGAATACATAATTACCGGAGCGAATCTCTCCAGACTTCAGTGCCAGTGGGTCAACGGGATACGTGCACACGCGAACGGGTGGTCACTCACGACGCACAAGAGATACGGTAACTGCAGACTCAGTTAATGATATACATTTAAATGGTCAGGTAGCCTATTTAAATAGTATATGACTTAAGTTACCATAATAGCCTGATGCTGATTATTGTAGTAGCCACATCTTCTATGATCTTATTTGGCTGTTTAGTTTAAATGAATTTGACGGCGTCTTCTTTAAGTAAAAAGAGTAACTTAATGAACAATTGTGAATGTTAAAATATTATCCTACACGTATAGTGCGATCTATGTTTTGGTATGGTTATGAGACCTGTAATAGTACAGTAGTATTAATAAAACTGGGATGTTTTGGCGCTTAAAATTACGAACATATTTATTTTTGCACGTGTAAAAAATGTTTAACAATAAAAAAAAAAGGTCCGAGGTGAAGAAGATGCTACTTCATCTGTCAAAAAAGTGGAGTTCGCAATATGCGGAAACACCTGTTGTACGACAGTGTATAGTTTGAGGGTTTTATTTAGGCTATTTAACTAAGGCTATTTATTTATAGGATCGTTTTCTTCTGTTTTGCATTTTTGGGGGCTGGGGGTCGTCACAAAAGGTTTAGGGGAGGGGTCAAAAGCAGTAGGCTATATTCTCTTATTTTTACATGCAAGTACGTATTTATACATAAACATTTTGTCTTTAACACAAAAAAATGAACAAGGTCGTCTGAAGATGTAACTACAATAGGCCTATTCTGATGTTAATTTCAGGATGTAGCATTGGCGAAACAAAAGTAGGCCTTCTACTGTCGTTATTTATCACTTAAATTATACATTTTAATATCATACAGGCTTATATGTCGCTAAAACGTTTGTGGTTTGCTTAACGTATATGACAGGATGAGCTCTGAAAGATGTTGCGGGAGATGGGGGTGGGGGTGGGGGGGGGGGTCCATCAATCTTGGACGTTTCCACTCTGGCACCATGGAGGGGGAGAAGGTTTGTCCCTTTAACCTGTTTTCCTCAATCAATACCGGCTGCTTTTGTGCTATAGTATAATGATCTGTTCCCACAGCACTCTTTACATGTATTTAAATATAACATTTATACATTTTAATAGTATAAAATGGTTTACATACACTGTAAATCTGTGTGTTGCATCTAGAAATCTTGGCTGTAATGAATGTAGGCCTACCATAGATGCTTTGCATGACTTTGATTAACCACTTTAGTTATGCAACTTGATCATATGTATATACAGTCTTTGTTTCAGCACTGAATGTATGTCAAAAGTCAATCAATATGATCAATCATGCATAATCCCAGTGTGTTGCCTGTGTTTGCTATAGTCTCATTGAAAGGAATGTCAATGCAGCTGTTACCCAATGGATGTTGCTATGACGATGAAGGAGTGGCTGAGATGCTGAGGACAGGATAAAAGGATATTAAGAGCTACTGGGATGTAAATGTTTGGGAGAGACAAGGAGAGAGAGGCAGAGTGGGTAGTGAAGTTGTTTGTATTGTATGTTGTTTTCTATCTTAACCCTCACAACATCAGCAGATTAAATCAATCTTGTGAGCAGATTAGATGTTTTCATTCATAGCTGTCTACACATGTTAGGACTTTTCTGTCCAGGTTGTCTTGTAACTCTTTAATTCCGAGCATTTGACTCGGAATGCATTTTTCAGATGACGTTTGTTTCTTAATTTATTTCACTGAGTCATTTGTATGGTTGCGGAAGAGAGGGAGAGCGAGTAATATGAATAATAGGATCAGATTAAAAGGAAATGATGCTTTTGATCTACATTTCTTTCAGATAGTTACATCCAGTTGGTTTTGCTTAGATAAGCCAAATGTGTTGTGCAAGAAATGACCTACACAGATGCATCCATGTCCTAGAAATACTACTGTATTTATACAGTTTATGGCAAAGACTATACACTCCTTTTGTTTTGATATAGTTCAGTAATATCTTTAAGGTCACCTGTGTTGAATGTCTGACCATCTCAGCATCACACAGCCCTTCACAATTCACAGTGTCAGCACTGCTGTGTCCTGTTGCCCTAGAAATTTGGAATCTGTAGTCGCAGTGTTGTCTTACAGCTGGAGGCAGGGCCGTTTTAGGACATGGCTGATTTGTGATAATTAAGATGATCCCTTTAATAATAAAATATGTTGTTAGCTGCTGTTGTGTTTACATTTTACTACATCAAAGCAGAGTGCAGTGTGACTACTGGATCTTTTTGAGAGAATTCAGTTACGTAAACATTAATGTATATAATGAATATGTATATGTGATTCATTTTAATAATAAAATTATAACATTTTATTATATATATATTAATACATTATATAATACTGTGCTTACAATAATTATTACTTATATGTTATTACTTCAGGAGTTCACAACGAAATTTTTCACTTCTTAATTATTATATGTAAATATTTTATTAGAATTTGGTCTATTACAGTTTGACAAGTTTTATTCAGTCATTCTGCACATTATTGTCAACTAAAAGTATATGTAATTTTAGTCTGAACAAAATGAACATTAAAGGACATTTTCATCCAAATGCAAAAATTATTACTTAAAAAAAAAGTAATGTATCACTGTGTTCTTCTCTTTCTTGCTGCCATTTTTCTCATATCCTCTGTTTGCTGCTGAATTAGTGTTTCTTATTTAATTGAAGTCTTTCCCGGGCTGTCTGTTTGTCACATAACCCAAGAAAAAGTATGATTAACATGGCGTCTATGTTTTTTAAATGTTTTATAAATAAAGACAATTTAAAATATAAATAACAGTGTTTTTTTATAAATAAATAGGCTAATTTAATCTCAGAACTCTCTTTTAAAGTCTGTGTGTATGTTTCATTTTTATGATCAAAATGTGACAATGAAAATAAAAAGTGCAAAATAAAATGACAATGACAACTAACCAACCTTGAACCTTTTCTCTCTTGTTTTACAGAAGCAGGTGACGTGCTACCTCCTGTTTTCTTTATCGACAGCTGTAATTGGCTCCCTGCAGTTTGGCTTCAACACAGGAGTCATCAATGCCCCGATATGTATATGTGATTCATTTTAATAATAAAATTATAACATTTTATTATATATATTAATACATTATATAATACTGTGCTTACAATAATTATTACTTATATGTTATTACTTCAGGAGTTCACAACGAAATTTTTCACTTCTTAATTATTATATGTAAATATTTTATTAGAATTTGGTCTATTACAGTTTGACAAGTTTTATTCAGTCATTCTGCACATTATTGTCAACTAAAAGTATATGTAATTTTAGTCTGAACAAAATGAACATTAAAGGACATTTTCATCCAAATGCAAAAATTATTACTTAAAAAAAAAGTAATGTATCACTGTGTTCTTCTCTTTCTTGCTGCCATTTTTCTCATATCTTCTGTTTGCTGCTGAATTAGTGTTTCTTATTTAATTGAAGTCTTTCCCGGGCTGTCTGTTTGTCACATAACCCAAGAAAAAGTATGATTAACATGGCGTCTATGTTTTTTAAATGTTTTATAAATAAAGACAATTTAAAATATAAATAACAGTGTTTTTTTATAAATAAATAGGCTAATTTAATCTCAGAACTCTCTTTTAAAGTCTGTGTGTATGTTTCATTTTTATGATCAAAATGTGACAATGAAAATAAAAAGTGCAAAATAAAATGACAATGACAACTAACCAACCTTGAACCTTTTCTCTCTTGTTTTACAGAAGCAGGTGACGTGCTACCTCCTGTTTTCTTTATCGACAGCTGTAATTGGCTCCCTGCAGTTTGGCTTCAACACAGGAGTCATCAATGCCCCGGAACAGGTTAGTAGATGTGTTTGTGTTGTGTAGCACCAATCAAAAGTTCAAACACGCATATACTACATTCAAACCTTTGGAGTTAATTTTTTTTAAGATTTAAAGCAAGAATGCATTAAATTCACCAAAACATATTTATTTAGCACTTAATTAAAATGATTAATCAAAACTTAAATAAAATACACACATATACACAAATGGGAATATAGGAATTATGCAGTGGCCATCTTCAATGAAAACATTTGAACTGCTTAGAAACTGCGGGCGTTCTTTAATGCCACATGGATGGAGCGTTACGGGGAGCCCATCAAGCCGGGTGTGTGCACCATTGTGTGGAGTTTTGCCGTGGCCATCTTTAGCGTGGGTGGAATGGTGGGATCATTCAGTGTTGGTGTTGTAGCCAACAAATTTGGAAGGTGAGTGGAAATTAATTCATCATGTGTAATTTGGCAAATATTGACCAGTTTGGACTTGGCAAGAAGCTGTTTTCTAGTACATTGCACCATGGAGCTAATGCTTACATTGTGGGTTTGAACCTGTCTTCCATGTAATTTATGCATCAGTAAAGTGGAATAAATATAATAAAGATGAACAGAGAAGTTTAATGTAGTCATTTTTCATTTATGTTGTTGTGCTGGGAAACCTCAGCCAGTTTATACATCAGCTTATGCCAGAGTTACTCACAATGCTGCTTTAACTGGACAGTAAATGCTTCATTAATAATAAAAGCAGTTTACTACAATGAGGGCACTCATCATCATGTGTAATTTGGCAAATATTGACCAGTTTGGACTTGGCAAGAACCTGTTTTCTAGTACATTGCACCATGGAGCTAATGCTTACATTGTGGGTTTGAACCTGTCTTCCATGTAATTTATGCATCAGTAAAGTGGAATAAATATAATAAAGATGAACAGAGAAGTTTAATGTAGTCATTTTTCATTTATGTTGTTGTGCTGGGAAACCTCAGCCAGTTTATACATCAGCTTATGCCAGAGTTACTCACAATGCTGCTTTAACTGGACAGTAAATGCTTCATTAATAATAAAAGCAGTTTACTACAATGAGGGCACTCAGAGTAGAAGAGTTGACCTCTGTTTTCCTCTCTGCTTGAACACTGTCCACACTGTCAGAAAAACCTAATTCAAAGCAAGCATTCATGTGTGCTCAGTGGCCATTGTTCTGTTTCTGTGGCCTTCTCTGCCACTCTCCCTGGTTTTGGTTGGTTTTTGATTTTGTCAGTAATAATCAAGAAGAAAAATATGTTTAATATTTTTGTCTAGTTTTTAAAGCACAAAGATTTCATAACACAATAAACAGTAACTAACTGTATACACATATAGGCTACTACAGTGCCCGGGAGCTGACATGGTCGGTTCACTTAGTTTTGTCGTGGCCATGAGATATTAATTTGAGGGAACGTCATATTAACTCATGGGAACGTGATAATATGTCGTGGCCACAAGATATTAATTTGAGGCAACGTCATATTAACTCGCGGGAACGTGATATGTCGTGGCCACAAAATAATTTTGTTGAGGTAACGACATCCTTATGTCGTTTTATGTCGCCTTAGGTCTTGATGTCTCACTACTCAGGGGCTAGGTGACGTTGGAGAAGCTTAAACAAACAGTCTTTAATGAACTCACAAATCCAGGGGAAACACAGGGCAGGTAGGAACACAAGGATGACGTAAGACACCGGATGCCATACACAGGGATTAAGTAACTGGAGACAAACAAAATAATTAATCAAAACCAGCTGAAACTAATGGAGCTAATTAGGGACAGGAACAGGAAGAACCAAATATGGGCATAAAGAAACACGAGGGAAAACCAGGAACACATAGGGAGGAAAACCAAATGGGAACAAAAGTCTGACATTATGGGTGGGCGCTCTGGAGGTCCCTCTGGACAGACACACGGCATGGCAGGCCTTAAGAGCGATATCCGTTCCGGGACCCATGGCGGATCAGGCAGTTCGGGGTGCCATGGCGGAGCTGGCAGTTCGGGTTGCCACGGTGGAGCAGGTAGTTCAGGAGGCCATGGCAAAGCAGCCTCCGAGGCCACGGCCCCAGCCCCGGGCTTAACTGAGGATCTGGAGCCCTCCCTGGGCTCAACGGGGGATCAGGAGCCCTCCCTGGGCTTAACTGAGGATCTGGAGCCCTCCCTGGGCTCGACGGGGAATCAGGAGCCCTCCGTGGGCTATACTCGGGAACAGGAGCCCTCACTGAAGAGAGCTCTGGGGCTGGAAGGCTTGACATCGGTGCGGCCGGCAGGCTTGACATCGGCGTGGCCAGCGGGCTTGTCTTCTAGATGAGAACAATTTATATTGTCCTTTATTTCTTCGACCTCGGAATTAGAACAGTTTAAATAAAGGACTAGATTAATCAACTCGATTAAGGGAAACTCATATGTTGGGAGATCACAACGGATTGTGTTCTCATCCAGCCCCAACTGAAAGCAGGCACTGAGTGCTGCGTCATGCCAACTCACCCGGTAAGACAGCTCGAGAAATTCCTCCACATACCGTTCCAACGGTCGACCACCCTGCCGCAGGCAACATAGCCGATCCTCGGGCGCTGTCATCAAAGCTTTATTGGCATTTACAGTAGGCTATTATTTACAAAAGTATTCAGTTAAGTAAAGAGATTGAAATGAAGGGGAAATAATGAATATAAACGAATATAACAAATAATAATAGGCTAATAATAATAATATACAAATATTACGGGAAAAAGACGATCAGTTAATGGACTTACAAGACTGTAGGATGGATAAAAATGTTTTTATATTTTATATTATGTACTTTATGTAACATTTATTCCTGATAAACTTCATCTGAATGCTGACTATCGCACGTAATACAGTCCGGTAGCCAAGGCCTATGGTTAATATAATAATGTAATAATGTAATAATTTCTATAATAAATAATATAATAATTTCTTAATTCAAAATAAAATATTAATGAATCCATCTCTGATAATCCCGAGTTGCTATGGTCACACAGCTTTGTTTACGCATTAAACTCGAGAAATGGATGTCGTTCCCTCAACATAGCATCTTGAGGCCACAACATAAGGATGTCGTTACCTCGACAAAATGATCTCGTGGCCATGACATAAAATCACGTTCCCACGAGTTAATATGACATTTCCTCAAATTAATATCTTGTGGCCATGACATATTATCATGTTCCCACGAGTTATGATGTCGTGACCACAACAAAACTAAGTGAACCGAACATGTCAGCTTCCGGGCACCGTAGGCTACCATTTAAAAGTCTGGTCAGAAAAATATTTATAAAGTTTATAAAGAAATTAATTCTTTTATTCGGCAGGTGCTTTAATAATCAAAAGTAAAACAAAAAAAAACATGATGAAAAACATATTTGTATGTTAGAATATACTCTATATAGTTGGTGCTGATAGCCTTGTGGGCAGCGTGCCGACATACAGTGCCGTTGCACTATGGGGCATCCCGACTTCGAATTCCGACTTGAGGACCTTTCCCGATCCCACTCCCTATCTCTCTCCCACTTCGCTTCCCGTTGGTTCTGATCTGTCCTATTGTAATAAAGTAAAATAAATCTTTAAAAAAAATAGAATATACTCTAAATAATTATTATTACTTATATGTTATTATTTCAGGAGTTCACAAGGAGATCTTTACTCATTTTGATTGTTGATTAATCTTTTAAATGTTTAAATGATTAAATAACTATTAAATGATTTTCTTTTTTGTGTTTAAATATTTGGTTAGAGTTTGGTTTATTACAGTTTTGCACATTATTTTCAACTAAAAGTGGTATATATAATTTTAGTCAGAGCAAAATAGAATAAAATGAATGAATATGACATTGACTATATGTTGTGACATTTTCATCCAAGGACAACAATTGTGACTAAAACAAAAAAGGGTGCAATCTTAACATTGTGTTCTTGTGTAATTTTTCTCATTTCCTCCATTTGCTGCTGAATTAGTGTTTCTAATTCAATTGAACTCCCCCTCTCCCTGTCTGTTTTTCTTTCCACAGACGTAAATCTATGATCCTTGTGAATATCTTGGCTCTGATTGGTGGGGGTCTCATGGGACTGTGCACTGTCTGCTCCTCCTTTGAGATGATCATTGCCGGTCGGCTGGTTATTGGGCTGTTCTGTGGTCTCTTCACCAGTCTTACTCCAATGTATGTTGGGGAAGTGTCGCCCACTCCCCTCCGCGGGGCCTTTGGGACCCTGCACCAGCTTGGTGTCGTGGTGGGCATCTTAATCGCACAGGTACAGCATTGTATGGCACAGCAATGTAGTTTGTTGCCTTTACAGTAGCTTTTAATTTTGGATATGACCAGATGGTTTATAAAAAATTTGTAAATCATTTTAAGAGCCTAGTGGCCTCATTATATGTTTGTGCCACAACAAAGCCTTGGGGAAATATCCCTTCTGATTAGTTTTGATGCACTTATGTTACATGAAGCTTCTAATTGAGTCTGCTGATCCATTTTTAAGTCTGCTAGCCTAATTTATGCCATCATAACCTAATCAGTTTTATTTTGGTACCTGTAAATGTTCAAATTACTTATAAGTCATGTCCTTTTCCATCTAGATTTTGGGTCTGGAGTATCTGCTGGGTTCAGATAAGCTTTGGCCTGTGCTTCTGGCTTTAACCGTGGTACCTGCTGTCCTGCAGTGTATACTGCTTCCGTTCTGTCCAGAGAGCCCTCGATACCTGCTCATTAACCTCAATGAGGAAGAACAGGCCCGTAAAGGTAAAAAAGAGATCACAAATTAGTTTTATCTCCACTGAGCTGCAACCATGCTTCACTGAACAGTTTACGCTGAAAGAACGTTTATAGTGGTGACAGCAAATATGTCTTTTGCATTGCCTTTTGCTTCAAAAGCAAATTAAATAATCCATGATGGCTTTACAAAAGAGGAAGAAAATATCAGGAGATTGATTACATTAGTCAGAAAAGAGAAAGATGTCAAATTTGCCACCACTCCCTCAGAAAACACTCACGCATCAGCATTAACCTAAACTAATTTTTTATTTGGTGAACAACGTTCATCTATGTGGCAATGAAGTTGTGCCAAATGCACTTAACCTTATGTTTCCACTTAACGTTAATTATGCCTTTGAGAGTGCTGATGACAAAATGAGCTAAAACATCTGCTTAAACAGGAGCCCTTTATTAAATAACATACAGGTTATCATTTACTGGAGCTGGATGATTAATTTTACACCAGATTATTACGCACATAAATGTGTAATAGATGTCAGCTAGCACAGCTATGTTGTAAAATGCTTTAAAAATTTTGCTCCTTTTTGAGCATCTTGACAAACCTGACACAGCAAACCTAACTTTTAGTCAACCAGTGGCAGCTGGCAAGGATTCAGGAAACCTGTTTGAAAGCAATCAGTCTTTGCAATTCTGTTTGGTGATGCTAGGTGTTGGAGACATTACTTCTGCTTTAAGCCAGATAAAGTTTGTGAAATCATTATACGCTACATGCATAATATGACAGGTTTTGTTAATATAACAAATATGCATTTTTTTATTTTCTGTAAACATCATTACCTCATTCCATTTTCTGAGACATTCATCTTCAAACTGGATCTGTTTACCAACAACATCTAAGAAGCAGGCTATTAGAGCATAATTTATTTAGTGTTCTGAATTCAGAATTCATGTAAATCAGAAGAACAACATTACCATGTTTTTAGCAGTAGGTACTGACATGATTCTCATTCTTTTTCATAAACCTATAAACCATAAAGTCATTGATATCATTTGCTGTGAAGCAAAGTTTTCTCATCTCAGAACATGACCCCTTGTCAGACTTGCTAAACTAGCCTGGTAACAAGTGTTTTCTGAAACTGGGAATTAAGGTGGAGAAACCATCCCTATTCTGATCTTGTGCTTTACTGTTCCTTATAGAGGAAGCAAAAGCTTGAGTCTTTAAGAGTCCCTGAACTTGACAAAGGACCAACAGCAGGTTTTGGCATCTTCTTTGATGTTGATGATGCAATAGTTGCCTTTTATCCTAGAATACATCTAAATATACAGATACAATTAAGTTAAAATAAATAATACATTTAAAACATTAAAGACATTAATGTTATTGTAATTAATGACAATAATATAAAGATTAATGTTAAGATTTCTCTTTCAAATTAATGCTGTTTTTCATCAAAGAATCCTGAAAAAATGTATCAAGGTTTTCCTAAAAATGTTAAGCAGAACTGTTTTCAACATTGATAATAATAAGAAATGTTTCTTGAGCACCAGATCAGCATATTAGAATGATTTTTGAAGCATTATTTGACACTGAAGACTGGAATAATGGCTGATGAAAATTCAGTTTTGCTGTCAAAGGAATAAATTACAAATAACAAAATAAATTATAAAATATATTTAAATAGTAAAGGTTATATATATATATATATATATACACACACAGTATATAACCTTGGTAAGCATAAGTACTTCTTTCATAAACATTCAACAGTTTTACCCATGCCAAAATGTAGTAGTCTTTCTTGTTAGATTTGTATGACCAAACCTCCGTTATTTTGTCCCTCAGCGCTGGTGCGTCTCCGTGGTTACGAGGATGTGGGGAAGGACATGCAGGAGATGAAGGAGGAGAGTGCGAAGATGGCCATGGAGAAGAAGGTGACCATCCCAGAGCTCTTCCGCACCGCTGCTTACCGCCAGCCTCTGCTCATCGCTATCATGCTGCAGCTGTCCCAGCAGCTGTCTGGCATCAATGCTGTGAGTGACATACATTACCCATCATGCACTGTGCTCGTTACTGCATACTACCTACTATTTTGAATGTGAAACAGTATGTATATTGTTTATAATATGCATTCTTTATATAAGCAGTAAATATTTGGATATCTTACTATACTTGGAATGCGAAACTTTCATTATGTTCCAAAATACAGTATCCTGAAATTCAATGTGCTGGACTTGACCTTACATTTTGAATGTGACAAATAATTTCTGATATCAGCCATGATTTTTAACTTCCACTTTATAGCTCATTATTTGGTCAGACTGTCAAATGTTTAATATACACTAGTGCTCTTGTTTTACTATCACTTTACATTCTTTAGTTAATCATTTGGACTTTTCTTTGTGTTTCTCAAAGGTCTTTTATTACTCAACTGGTATTTTTGAGTCAGCTGGAGTGAATCAGCCCGTTTATGCCACCATTGGAGCTGGAGTCGTCAATACTGTCTTTACTGTAGTATCTGTAAGTATTTTATCATTGAACTTCATAAGAAATCTGTGGTGTTTGAAATAATACTTTAAAGGGGTCCTATTATGCTCTTTTACAAAGTCTTGATTTTGTTTTGGGGGTGTACTAGAACAGGCTCTCATACTAAGTTCATGGTTTGTACGGTCATGAAAAACCTGGAAAAGTTTTGGAAAAATAAATAAACCCAGAAAGTTTTGGAAAAGTCATTGAAATCTATTTCACAAAACTCTGTATAATAGAATTGTGTTTAATCAGGTCCTGAATTTCGGTGCGGGATTAGCGCATAGGCTATATCGCATAGTTTTACTCATTCCCGCAGCTTTTGACTTTAAAATGATGGATATTCACACATTTATTCAATAGCCTATAGCATGTAGGTTTGATGAGTAAATAATCAAACCTACAGACTGATCAAATCAGTCATTTGAAAACAGCGTGAGTGATTCAGCTGTACGCGTCTTCTCTTTTTGACTTTTCTCTTCAAACGGCTTCACATCGGCGCATCTTGTCTGCGCTACAAGAGCCGCTGCACGCTGCGATACAAGACTTTCACTCGCGTTTCGGGACAGTTGACAGAATTGTCACTTGCCTAATTGGGTCATTGTTGCATCATCAGATAATTTTATTATTTATTTGCACGTCTTTTTAAGCCATTCGGTACTCGCACGCTCCAACGGCGGTGCGCAGTCACATTCAAAGTGCGTTCGTGCGTATATAAAGCCACCTTGCCAGTACCCAATTGAGTTTGCTACCAAATAAGCTCAGCAGAACCCTGCACGGGCCTCAAACATATGCCCTAGTCCGGCCCTTATCCGACAGATGTCTTTTTTCTCTTTCTCTCTTCCCCAATTACACAGCTGCTTTTGTAGCCATTAAAATAGTTCAGTTTCGTTTTTAATGGCAAAAGTGGTTATATATATTTTCGTTTCTTTATTATGTTAATTTAGAAATATGTTTGGAAAATGTTTTTGTTTGTTAAATTCAAGTTTTTGTTTTACTCTTCCAGCACTCGCTGCTGCTGGACACTAAACACCGTCCAAGCCACTCGTGACAGTTGCGGTAGCACGGTCTCGTGTTGTTTCCACCAGTGTGGCAAATCTTTGTCATCATCATAATAATTGATGGATATCTAAAATATAAAAATAAGGAGGAAGCAAGCCTGATGCCTGGCCCGTGTCTGAGCTATGACGTGAAAATTGTCCCGAAGCCATAAATAAGTTGGGGCCGTTGGGCTCAGGCTGAAATGCAGGGCTCTAAAGCGCAGCTTGTTGCATTTAAGCAGCAAAAATACACACAAAATGACACCAAAATGGCCATCCTGGCCACACAGTTAAATAAATGATAATATTCAGTGATGTGATATGTGAAATGTGGAGTAACGTCTGGCGCAGTTGCAGCTTGTACTTATTACTAAAACAAGAAAGCAAACGAGTAGCATTAATAGTCATTCATTTTAGTTAACATATGCTATGATAATTTGAAAATATTTGTATTCTTATTGTAAAATAATGGAACATTTAGGTCATGAATATTGTCTCAAAAGTCATGGAAAAGTCATGGAAATGTATTGGTAAAAATGTGTACGAACCCTGTAAGTTGTTTGAAAACACATTAATTTTCACATATTTTACATTATTACAACACCTCTCTCCCCAGTCTGGCATGAAGGGCTCGAATAGTTCCTGTATCAAGTGAAGGCCCGCCTTCTGAAATACGAAATGTGCTGTGATTGGTTAGCTGGGCCAGTGTGAGTTGTGATTGGCTCCACTCGGCACCTGGTCGGGAAATGTCACGCACCTTACCATAGCCGCCTGCGAGATTCAGTGTAAATATTGCGTCAAAATCAAATCAATTTGAGCGCGATTTAAACCGGGATGATTGTAACCACTCTAAGTTCGTCTGCCTTGGGAAAGCTAGCGTGTCCGACATAGTGATAACACTCGTTGCCTTCTCTGGACCAACCTGGTCTCCTCCCACTCGTCTGTATTTGTGATATATCACAAATCCCGGAAAATATGCGTTGTAGTCCAAACGAGTCATTCGTTGTAGTCTTTGAAAAGTGATTTCTGTTAAATAAAATATCTCCTTTTGAATTGGACTTTGAGCTTTGTAACTTTGCTGATCTTTTTTTATGCTCAAACAGCAACATTACAGACTAACTAAAGTTGAAAAAGTGAAAAAGCATAATAGGACCCCTTTAATTTTATCCTTTTATTCAAGCTTTTCTTGGTGGAGAGGGCAGGAAGAAGAACTTTGCACCTTATTGGTTTGGGTGGAATGGCTGTCAGCGCCTTGGCCATGACCATTGCTCTCTTATTGGTGGGTCCTGCTGTCTGTTTTCATTTTGCTGAAGATTCAAAACAGTCACTGTAAATATCTGACCATCATAAGAATGTCGTACCTGTATTTTCTTACCTTTGTTCCTGAGCAGAAGGACATTGAGGCTCTTCGCTACCTCAGCATTGCTGCAGTCTTTGCCTTTGTGGCCATGTTTGAGATGGGCCCTGGACCCATTCCCTGGTTCATAGTGGCTGAACTGTTCTCCCAGGGGCCACGTCCTGCCGCCATGGCCGTTGCAGGATGCTCCAACTGGACAGCCAACTTCCTTGTGGGAATCAGCTTCCCTAAACTGGAGGTATGAGCTTAATTTAGATTAACTTTTAAAAACAACTGCCATTTCTTTAACTACTTAAAACTACAGTATTGTTTTAAAGTGTTTTAAGATAAATATAGTAATATTGGTTATGGAGAACCAGCTATACAAATAAACATTTCTGAAAAAAAATAAACACACACACATTTGAACTTGAATTTTAAATAATTTAATCTAACCAATTAAAATAAAGTTTTTAAACAATTATTCTATAATAAACAAATATTTCATGCCACGTGATTTTTGTTAAATTAGTGTATTATTCTCCTTGTGGGAATTAGCTTATTAAAACTTTTAAAAACGTATTAACTTATTAAAAGCTTGATGTAAACGTATTAAATCAATTGCCATTACTTTAACCACTTAAATCTACTGAATTAATTTTTAAAGTAAAACTATTAATATTCTATATGGAGAACCAGCTTTTCATTTAAATATTTATTTTACATATGCATATAAAAAGAAATATTTATTTAAAAAAAAATTTTTTTAAATCACTCACCTTGAAACTTGAATTTAAAATCATTTTAATCTAAACCATTAAAATAAAGTTTTTTTTTAAAATAATTTTTCTATTGTAATAAATTTTTATCTCATGACTAGCGGGTTATTGTGATCTTATTTTATGTTAAATTAGTGTATTCTTCTGCTTGTGGAAATATAGTTTCCTAAACTAGAGAATTGGAGGTATGAGTTTAAAGGGATAGTTCACCCAAAAATGAAAATTCTATCATTAATTACTTACCCTCATGTCGCTCCAAACCCGTAAAGACCTTCCTTCATCTTCGGAACACAAATTAAGATATTTTTGATGAAATCCGAGAGTTTTCTGACCCTCCATAGACAGCAATGTAACTGCAATGTTCCCAGGCCTAGAAACGCATTAAGGACATCGGTAAAACAGTCCATGTGACATCAGTGGTTCAACCATAATTTTATGAAGCTACGAGAATACTTTTTGTGCACAAAGAAATAACAAATAATGACTTTATTCAACAATTCATCTCTTAAATTAATTTATTAAATCAATAGCCATTACTTTAACCACTTAAAACTAATAATTGTCCTAATATAGAACATTTTTATCTCATAACTAGTAATCGTGATTTTATTTTGTGGTAAAATGTGTGCAAAATGTCAGAATTAACTTTTTTCTTATTGTTTGTGAATTACAGGAGCTGTGCGGGCCATATGTCTTCATTATATTTATGATCTTCCTCATCTTCTTCTTCATCTTCACGTACTTCAAAGTACCGGAGACCAAAGGGCGAACTTTCGATGACATCGCCCGTGGTTTTAGCGGGGCTCCGCCTCTGGCTGCCACCTCTGTGGAGGAGCCCGGCAGAGTCGCACTTCCTGCCTCTCCGGTCAAAGAAAAGGTCCCATTGGTGGAAGCTTCCAAATCTTCCTCGGAACAGGGTGCAAGCTCATCTGAGAAAGTTGCGGCAGATGCCACAAAGGTGGAGGACAAACCGAGCTCAGTTACCCAGCCACTGGTGGATTCTAGTAAAGAGGAGAAATCTAATTCCACCATCTAAGAAACGGTGTAACTATACATAGCTTAATATGATTAAAGCCATGACACTGAAGATAGAAATATAATACTAGAGATTTATTTACTGGAAAGAGATTGTTTAGGGTAAACAGATTATGAAAGGAACCACAGTGGAGAGTCACAGATCTCCTAGACATATTTTGAAAGGATACGAGAGCTCATAGTACATGAGCTTTATTTTATTGTGTAGTTTGACAACTGATTGTTTGGTGCAATATTGATTCATGTTTTAAGAGTTATATCCTTTTATTGCTCATTCCTGTTTGTGCCGTTTTAATGTGAATTAACAAATTGGACATGGTTTCCTTTATCAACTCAAACAGAAAAAGGGAATTTTAACATTTGGCCTTCATAGTTCTCGCCATTTTCAACTGTCAAACCTCTTTTTTTGTGTGAAAAAAAGTGTTTTCCCCTCGAATGATAGTTGTCAGTCATCATAATCTCGAGGTTTTTGCACTTACGATGTTTGTTTTGTATAACATATAGTGTATATAGAAATATATATACATTTTCATTACTTCAGATCACTACTACCATCAAAAACACTTCAAACATATAATTAATTAGAAAATGCAGTAAAATATTTACATTTATAGGAAGTGCTTAGCTAGTAAAGCTTATGCCAAGAATAAAATCGCTAGTTTACTGCCAAAAATAATACATTTAAAGAAAAAAACTCTTGGGATAAATAAGTCACTCATTCATCTAAAATCACAGTAAAGGTTGTATTGTAGAGGACGCAAATGGACCAACCAGTGTTCAGTGAATTTCACTGTATATACAGTCTCAATAACTAAACAAGCTCACATTTCAGATATCCTAGATTAAGATTTTTAGCAAATGACATAATCAAAGAGGAAATTTGCTAGATTATGACCATTACTCCCGCTACTGAATTTCCTGTGCTTGGTGATTTAGTATTTCAGCTTTGCATGTTTTAATCCCTTTCATAGAGAACACATATAGTATTTTGTTGTTCATACATTTATTTTTTACTTATATTAGAGAATCTTTACCAATAATTTATATCATGCAAGTCGATAGACGCTTTATGCTGCCATTGCTTAGGTGTTGCTATTTTTGTCTAGATATTGAATGTGAAAGTATTTATTAATAAGCACATTTATACGCCAGGGGTAATATGAAGAACTGCGTTTTCCCATTCTGATGTCTTATGGTCATGTATGTGTTGCACGGAGAGAAACTCCAAAAAAGACCAAGAAAGAACATTCCTCTTGCAGTAGTGCACTGTGGTTTGTATTCCAGCGGTCAAGAGCAGCTTCACATTGAGCCAGCCCTCTTCTAATACTAGCAAACACAACCATCTTATTAACTGTTTATACCTTTCACATATTGTATCTTTTACTGTGCATAATGTACACAACTCGCTCGCTTGCTGTACAGTTAGAAGAGCATCACCCTGTAAATACCCAAGTTCATGTTTCTGTGTTGAATGGTCTCTCATTGATGTAATTGCAGGTCAAAAGGAGAGTGTCTGCTAAACAGAAGTGTTGATGTTTTGACGTTTGTATATTTTATGGTGGCTTTTCCTGAACGTGTATCAAAATCATGAGTGGTACTGTGTACAGTTGTATTATTTTGTGAATAAATAGTCTAAATTATATCTTCTCTTGTTCCTTCTGTTTCCTAAATGTTAATAGGCTACATCAGATTCAGTGAAGTATACAGTAACATTTGTGGTATTTTGGTACCTAATTGTCATCACAAAAATATATTCAAGATAACTAAAGTCATAAAGATAGCTGTTTTTACTCCGTGTGCATATAAATAACTATATGAATTTGAATATTTGATAATGAGTATTTATAGTTCTTTCCGATAACACAAGTTAGTATTTTTAATCACTGGACTGATATTCAAATAACACAGCGTCGTTCCGCATAATAACCAATCATCTTCAATAACGCCCTTTGAAGCCAATCAGATTTTAGCATCACTCTGCGTCATCATTCTGGTTAAAAACAGTTGAAGAGAAACTCATATTTAGACAAAATACAGATAAAATCGCCTTTATTGAAGGATTATTATAAAACCGAACGTACTTCAATTTCCCTCACGGACCAAAACCGCGGGCTTGAACGTGTAAGTGGAAAACCAAATATTTAAAAGTAGACCTAATTTTGAAAAAGTCAAGTGACCATTATTATTTACAACTGTACTAGCGATGACTAAACTGACTAAAAAAAAAATTACATTAACAAATAGTGTATTTTAAATACATACGTCATTATAATGCAATAGACTTTCCAGTTACCAATAAATATACCCATAATATCATTTTAAGTTATACCATTTGAATTAGCCATAGCAGTGAACAAAATGGTACAGTAACGTTATAGTCCAACCTAAATAAATATAATGATAAGTTAAATCACAACACCTGAACTATTACTAGACACAGTTTGTGTTGTTTTTTTGGTGTGGTTTCATACATGTTTGCATTGCAGCTTTTGTCTATTAGCTCGCTGCATATTTCATATAGGGCCTATGACACAATCTTACGCTGTTGCATATTTTACATCCCCTCGTTCTCATTGTGTTGCAATTAAGCTTTACGCCTTTATCCTTAATCTAAAGTCCTGAATAATAGCGCATGCTTGCTTGATGAGATAATGTGCTTCTTTAAATTTGATAAGAGAGATATCACTGTCAGTAACAAGCAGTTTCTGTAATCCTTTGAAAGTGCTAATCTCAAACCTTAACTGTTCATTTATTCATAGCTAGTGCGCAGCTCTTTTGGCGAGTCTTGGATTTGATCAAGTACATATAGGGATCATTAATTGAATGATTCTCTAGAGCCCGCCTCCCGCATGTATTTCTCCATGTCCAGCGGCTCAGACACTTGCAGCACTGCTTGATCATTGGCGCTTCTCTCTCCTGATTGGAGCTTTCTGATCAGCTCAGCCAATGAGACTCGATCCTTTGGTTTCCACTGACAGCAGGATTTGATAATAGAACAAGCTGATTTGTTATCTAACAAGAGCAGATGCAATCTGAGCGCCCATGGTGAAGATGTGTCTTTCAGTCATGTCACACGATGCCTCCTGACCTGTGTGGTCCTGTGAAAGAGATTTACAGCCAGTCAAAACAAAGGTGAGATATATAGTAGTTTGACTTTTAATCAATCCATTGCAAATGAGATCATCAGGAATGACACAACCTCTGTGTTGTCCACACTTAGGTGACCTCAGCAGTGCAAATAACTGATCAATGTAAGAGTTTAATGTCAATATTGCACAGTAATTGCAAGTCGTGTCATGGAGTTTTGAGACTTTTAGTTCATGTTTATTCCTGTGATGGCAACGCTGAATTTTCAGCATCATTACTCCAGTCTTCAGTGTCACATGATCCTTTAGAAATCATTCTAATATGCTGATCTTTTGATCAAGAAACGATTTTTGCTCTTTTGTACAAAAAAAATTGAAGTGATGCCAACTTAAAATGGGGAAAATCCCTTTTTTCATGTCCCGCTCTCATAAGGAAATATGTTAACACAGGGTTTAAACCGGAGTTCATCAAGCCAAGCTAGTTTTATCATTGTCCCTTGCAAGAGTGAAAATTAAGCATCACTCATGTACCTGTCTGCACCTCCACAGGAAGCTAAGCAGGTCACGGTGTTCCAGCTCCTCTACGGCAATCATCAACGGTGTCCGCACAGACACCACCCCCAGCAGTTTGGGCAACGATGGATGCGGTCCCAACTCTGAAAGGAAGTGGGCAAACCCCAGAAAGGACTGGCGCTCTTTGGCATTGGCTGATTCTGCATGAGGGAAAAAGTAGAAGAAAGTAAGATTTTTTTTGTCCGCCTGGTTATCTGTCTGTCATTCAGTATGACTGTCTGTCTTCTATCTATCTACCTATCTAACTTGCTGGCCACTATGTTGAGGTTTTGTAGGTCATTCTTTAGATTCGAGAATAAAACATGCAACCTTCTAGTTGCAAACCCTGAACTTTAATAACAAGTGAGGCAGAATTCTACCACTGATTCATAATAAAATACACTGTAAAACCTTCGTTCATCTTCGGAACACAAATTACGATTTTTTTTTTAAGAAATCCGAGAGCTTTCTGATTCTGACCCTGCATAGACAGCAACACAACTGACATGTTCAAGGCCCAGAAAGGTAGTAAGGACATTGTTAAAATAGTCCATGTGACATCAGTTGTTCAAGCGTAATGTTATGAAGCTACTAGAATACGTTTTGTGCGCAAAGAAGACAAAAATAATGACAATTTCCTCTCCTCTCAGTCTTCGTCGCATGTTCACGACAGTACTACGACACGTTCCGAAGATGAACAAAGGTCTTACAGGTTTGGAACGACATGAAAAACGGCAATGAAATAATCACTACAATTACTAAAACTGAAATAAAATAAAGCTAAATAGAAATATTTTAAATAATGTTAAAATGAAACTAAAATGAAAATGAAAACTGAAAATATAAAAAATAATTGCTAACTCGAAATATTAACTAAAATAGTATACTGTATATAAATTGTACGATATATTAATATTATTAAAATCAAATAAAAAAATTAATGAAATAATGCTTATCCAACAGTACCTTTAAGCACTCGTAAAACGACTGGCTGTCTGTCCATGACAGCTCTGTGCAATGCGACCGTGTTGTCTGCTTTTACTGAGAAGGTGAGAGGAAGTGGAGAGACCAGCTGAAAGAGGTCCGGATGCCTCTCGGTGGTTTGCGGAGGTACTGCAGGGCTTGAATTCTGCATGTCATGGTGAGGTTGGGCTGTCATGGGAATAACCTCATGTTCCAATGGGTTCAGCTCTGCTGGGGCTGTTGTTGCAGTGTAAATTAAAAGATTAAGAGAGAGAAAAAACTGAATCTGTTTTATTTTCTTACAGTATAACTTTTGAGAAAGACCTTTCAATAAACACTTTGATAATTAATGAACAAGATAGTCTATTAATAAACACTGTGATCATTCATAAAGGCAAACCCTTTAAATAAACATAGCGATCATGCATGGTCAGGAAGACTTATAAATAAACATTTCTATCATGCATGAACCGGAAGACCTTTAAATAAACACAACAAACATCAAGCGACTTGAGTATTTAGTGTGTAACAAAGTCAGATGCTGTAGCTACCGTCAATGCCTTGCAGGTGCCGTCTGTTGCTGTTACGGCGTCTCTGTGTGTTATGATGGTGTTGTGTGTCATCTTTTTCATTTCTGTGGTGTCCATAAAGATGTGATGGCTTGTAGGAGCATTTGAGCACAAACAAAATGATCAGTGTGACCAGAAAAGCCAGGAGAAACAGCACCGGAACAATGATCAGTTCGACTTTATAAAAAAGCACCTCTGCAAAGAAAGTAGAAACACAATGGGATTAGAAAGCTGAATTCCTTGTGTCACATGTTTGCATGTTTTAGTCACAGATAGAGGGAACTGAGTGTGTCAAGCAGTGAGACATCTGATCACTCTCCCTAATCTCCTCCCACTTCATTTACACCAGTGAAACATGCAGTGCTCATTGTCTGCAGTGGCACTGGTGGAGATGATGAGGTTTTAAAGTTTTAGATCAGTCATGTTCCTCTCTGAAAGATGCCCGTGACACAGTGTCTGGCTGTGAGGGTAGACTTATCTCTTTGTCTGTCTTTTCCTTTCCTATCTTGGAAATAAGTTTGCCACGTTCAACCTCCTGTCTTGTCTGAGTGATTTTTCATCATTTTATGGGATTGTTCATCATTTATATATTTATGAATCAGAGAGAAAGGAGTGGTCCAGGTAAAAATCTTGGTCATTTTCAAAAGATGTACATTTTCAGAAGTGTGCACATTTTAAATATCAAACTGAAGAGATAATTATTGTAGAAGAAGTGAATGTTCAAGAATTTGGGGGAAATATCAATAAGCATAATGAACTGTTGAATGAATAGTCATAGATGAGAAAAGTGTGTTTCCACATGTATTAAAAGTAGTCTCTTGTGCTCCCTAATGCTGCATTTATTTGATCAAAAATACAATAAAAACGGCAATATTGTACATGATGCTTCAGATATCATTCTAATATGGTGATTTGGTGCTGAAGAAACATTTTTTTATTATCGATGTTGAAAGCAGTTATGCTGCTCAATTTGTTGGTAGAAATATTTTTTCAGGATTCTTTGATGAATGTAAAATTAGCATTTTTTAAAATAGAAATCTACAGCATTATTATACATTTCTTTACTGTCACTTTAGCTCAATTTAATGCATCCTTTATAAATATTTTTTTTTCTTATTGAATATTAAGAATATTTTTAACTTTTGAATGGTGTATAGAAAGAGATTAAATTGAACATACCACACTACTTACCACAAAGAGTGCCTGCTACACATAGATTTGTTGCGTTAGTTGTATTAGACATACTGTAAAAGGAAAAATATATATATTACCACCATTAATGAGATATGGCAAAGCACCAACTTCAAAACACTACATATAAACTGATATCCAGTAATTCAAGTGCAATGCTATTCACATGCATCAGCTTATGTGTTTTATGAGTGTATATAACATCTCTGGCATAATCTTGCAGTGCATGTGTGCAATTTGGCTGCTCTCCTTGAAAGACATCAAACCAGACTTTAAATATTTGACATTGATTACCAATGTAGTTTGCTGTGTGTTTTGCAGAGAATATTTGTTATACTTTGTTAGATGTGTATGTACACTACCAGTCAAAAGTGTTTGAAGAGTAAGATTTTTTTATGTTATTTTTTAAGAATTCTCTTCTGCTCACCAAGCCTGCATTTATTTGATCCAAAATACAGCAGAGCAGAAGAGAATTCTTTAAAAAACATTAAAAATCTTACTGTTCTTTTGACTAGTATTTTATTGTACATGATTTGTACGTTTCACAATACTTTTAAGGATCAATCATAAAGCTAGATTTGCTTTGTTTTGATTGTCTCTGACATTTTTATTCAGCAATGAAATATGTAAGCAATTGTCACATTGCACAAAAGTCCCATCCTATTTGATGGCAGCTAAATATTTGTTATAATAACATCATGACAATGATGGAGCTTTTTGCCTGTATATAAAACACTGGCATGAAAAGAAATTAGGATCTACACTCATAGTCAAACATTGGTTGTGATCAATGGTTTAAAAATAGCTTCAAATTTATCAAGATTATCAAGAACATCAATGCACGTACAGTAAAAAAACATTGTGACAACATCACGCCTTGAATACTCCCACTACTGATCATCCTTTTTCAGCACATTCTTTTTGTTTGACTTTGACATCTTAAGTTTGTGTATGAGACTACCAGACATTCACTCAACCGGTTTCTCTGCATTTCTGTCTTCACATTAAAATCACACCACAAACTTCACCACACGCAGGAGCCAATGTGAGCTCAGTATAATGTAAATACCAACTTCTTGATTTATCAAATTTTGATTTAACTAGAATTTAGCCAGTGAAAATGTGCCCATCAAGTTTTAGGTTTTAATGTTGTTTATTTATATATAAATAATAATTAAATATATCTATATATGTTGTTTATATATATATATACACACACACACACACACACACAGCAGTATAATGTAAAATAATCTGTGCGTATAAATGTATATGGTTAGCATGTTAATGAACTTACATGTCATCTTCTCTGTGTGTGAAGAATGATGGAACGGTTTCTCATTTTCCAAACTTGGTCATCTTCTTTTGTCAGAGGCTGTTTTGTTTCTATTCGCTGTTTATAAAACTGGTGTTTTTGCAGTATTTTATTCTCAAAGTATCAACTTCTTGGTCCCATCTCTTCTACAAGTGCTCTTTGTTTTTGCTGTCTGTCATCTACCTGCATTCTTGCTGCCACACCCACATCCTACAGCTGTTTCTTTAAGCCCCGCCTTCACCTGAGTTTCTGCCATGCATCACTGTGCCACAGACAGTTAATTATAAAGACTGGCTCAGTTGTCATATGTTAATATAATAACGTATCATATGTTTGCCATGGAAGGTTTAATAAAATATTTGCATGCAATTCTACCTGTATGTGAATACATCTTAAAGGAATAGTTCACTCAAAACTGAGAATTTGATTCAAATTTACTCAACTTCAGGCCATCCAAGATGAGTTGTTTTTTCATAAGAACAGATTTGGAGAAAATAATTTTCATAGAATTGTTAGCATCTAATTGCTTTGGATAATACGTGCAAGATTGTTTCTTTATCTTTTTATTCTTTATTGCTCACCAAAGGATCCTCTGCAGTGAATGGGTGCCATCAGAATGAGAGACCAAACAGCTGATAAAAATATAACAATAATCCACCAGTAGTCCACACGACTTCAGCCCATCAGTTAACGTCTTGTGAAGCAAAAAACGGCATGTGTTTAGAAACAAATGGCATGTTTTTAGTGTTTTAACTTTAAATAGTCACTTCAGCCCAAAAATTCCTCCAGTGAAAAAGTTTATGCCCTGTTGTCCTCTCACTTCAAAATCCACCAACATATATTTTTAGAACCATTTTAGCTTGTAAATGGTGCTTGATCTGTGCATATTTCTCTCCTGATTCAGACAAAATGACTTTTTCATTGGAGGAAGCAATATTATGGATAGAGGACACGTAATTTCATTAAATACGTCTTAATGATGGATTTGTTTCTTACAAAAATGCAACTTTTGACTTCACAAGATGTTAATTGATGGACTGGATGGACTAACCTGTGGATTACTGTGATGTTTTTATCAGCTGTTTGGACTCTCATTCTGACGGCACCCATTCACTGCAGAGTATCTATTGGTGATCAAGTGATGTAATGCTAAAAATCTGCTTATCCTAGGTTTTTTTTTTTCACTCTTATCCAGAATGTGTTTATATAACGCTAAAACTGTCTCCGTGTGTTGTGTATTGTTTAACATTCTGTTGGTCATGAAAAGGGCGAATCAGAGATGACACTGGCCAATTTGGTCCTCCCTGTGCTGCCCTGCTGCCCTCTCATGGAGGAGTTTCTGAGGTCCCTCAAACCGTCACTGTGCCCCTTTCCAAATGAACAGGTGATCAAAGTATCAAAGTCTTGCCAGGGGCGACAGGATTGGCCACTATTAAACAAACCGGCCCCGCTCATGAAGGGCTAGATGGGTTTAGTTTGGCATCTACGCTCTCTTTGTAACTCTCTCACACACGCATAAACACATGTATGTGTCCCAGGCACAGGCACGTCCACATAAACGGACACACACAGCTTAGTCAGGCAACTGGACTGCTGTGTTGCACCACATGAAAAGGTGTGTGAGAGAGAGATGGCTGTGCATGCGTAAAGCCAGGAAAGAGAGCTCAAGCGAGAGAACTTGCATGTGCCCTCTCTCCCTCAGTCCGTGCCACCCCAGGGTGGGAATGCTAAGACAGACAGGCGGTTTATTTTTGGGTCAGTGACAGTGTGTCAATGGCCGCAGATGCGTCGCAAAGGAAGGCTCTGAGATACCAGCAGACCGTGGTCAGTCCCTGTCTCTCTCCTGCTCTCTCTCTATCTCCCTCGCCCTTTCTTCTGCTCTTTCTTCTGTCTGGTTACTCTTTAGTCTGTTGTGAATTGCTGTTCTTCTGTCGTTTGAAATCATATGGACTGAAAGATGTTGCACAATCTTTGCATGACGTGTATATTTGTACCGACTGAGTCACCGTGTTAAGCGCTGGGCTGCAGAACTCGTGGAAAGTGCAACAGGAGTTAGTCATTTTCCTCCTGTCATTTTTTCTCCCTTTTACTCCATCTCTCATTTACGTATATATAGGCTCCTGAAGAGGTCTGTACTATTATTTTAGTTTATCTGTATAAGTTTGCAGTGCAACTTTTTTAAGAGAAAAGGCCCAGTCCGTACTATGACTTTAATTAAAAATGAGTGATTCTTCAATTAGAATGGCTGTGCAAAAAAATATGTTCTTTCATAATCAAGCAGAGATTAATAATCATTTAATAAATATATTTAAAGTCTTTTTAAATCGCCTTTTCTTAATTTCTGTTTTGAGCTTGACTTTTACATACTGTGCAAATAAGGGAAAGTGTATTTTGCACTTTTTCTAACAACTTTAAATAAAAAGTTGACAAAAACTATGATGAAATCTTTTTTAACATACAGGTGCATCTCAATAAATTAGAATGTCGTGGAAAAGTTCATTTATTTCAGTAATTCAACTCAAATTGTGAAACTCGTGTATTAAATAAATTCAATGCACACAGACTGAAGTAGTTTAAGTCTTTGGTTCTTTTAATTGTGATGATTTT